ATGAGGGTGAAACATGAAAGGTAGAGTGGGAAAGAGCCGTGTGGTGCAGTGGGTTGTGCGTTGGTGTTGGGATCAGGGGGTCACAGGTTCAAACCCCACTGCAGTCAGCATGTCGTTGTGTCCCTGAGACACTTCACCCCAAATTGCTCCTGTGGGCATTGCCCACAGTATTGAGTATGCAAGTCGCTTTGGATAAAAGCGTCTAACAAGTGACATGTAATGTAATGAAAGAGGCCACATACGAGGGGAGGGGCTTTCACACATCAGAAGGTTTGATCCAATCATCATATGTATGCATGAAGCCAAGCTGCATATGAATAATATCCAGTTTGCTCGCTGTGAATGCTAAAACAACGTCACTAAAAGTGATTCAGGAGCAATTTAAATGGCAACATTTGGCTCTGGTCTGCTATTGAACACCGCAAGCCGGCAATGTTTTCAGTTTATTGAAAAGTGGATGAAAACAGATTTGAGTGGAAACGTGCTACACCGAACTGGTAAACACTATATAATGTGCATTTAAATGCACATTAACATCCAATGTGAGAGGAACGAGAAAGATCCAGAGGCTGCTTTTCTGTTCGGATTATCCAATGGCTTCATAGTTTATATATTTGTTAAACATGACAGTACAACAGAATCAAATATAATATTAAAATAAGTTGTACATTGGAAAGCTCACAGTGGCTTATTGCAAAAAGAGATGTCAATGCAACTCTGTGATAGATTTGCGGCGATATGTTTGTTTGCAGTTGACAAAACAAAACAAATACCTATACTTTACACCGTCCTCACTATAAAGGTCACTATCCACTTGTTGTTTTACCAAGGATGTATTTAAAGGATATGGGAGGTGTTTCTTTTCTGATAAATCCAAGGAAAATATCAAACGTACAAAGCACAAATCCCTTTCTTGATCATTTACAAACACCCACAGTCTGTGACCTATTGGTTTCCAAAAGGACGTTAATCTTCAAAAACAGGTTTTCTAAAAGAGGAATTTGAAGGGGATTATTTTCAGCGGTGGATAAGTACATAATTGTTGCTCTCATGAGTATTACCAACAGCAGCACGGTGTATGTGGGACTGGCCTCATTTAACTAACTAAGTGCCAGGTTCTTCAGGATGAAAGGGTAAGAGGGACTCTGATGTTTTCACCAGGTTTTAAACAACAGTAGAAGTCTGTGGTAGCGGTTTACAACTTTTCTCTTCTAACGAGCCCCTCAGTCCTATCCTCAGTGGTTGATTCTTGGGCTTTGGTCTCTGTTGTACTCCTCTGCTCACCTGTTTACTGTTTTCCTCATCTTAATCGCAGCAGGTGGTGTTAAAGTATCACAGCTGGCTCAGCTTAGTGGAAAACAGTCGGTCTATCAGAGCTGCTCAGCTTTCTTAAAACTACGTTCCCATACAATGACACTGGTCTGTTACGCTTGGACAGGGAAATGTCTTCTCCTGGATTGCATTGTTTTTGGATTTGTTTCGTATATTTAAAGTACAATAACAAATGGAGAGAAGAGTTGAAGACAGATATGAACACATGCAGTAAATGGTCACTCACATTTGAAAAATATTCAGCCTTAGATTTTGACTGATTACAAATGTGTTTCTAATCAAAGGTTGCTGCAAGTCTGCTAAAGGAGACAGCTGTTCATGTCCAAATGAAAGTTATTGTTATTTGTGGACAGAGGGAGTTGTGGCTTGCAAAGGTCCCAAGCTAGTATTGAAAAGGGCTTTGCTGTTTCTTGGTCTGCGGTAACCAGCTGTCTACCAAGTTGCTCTAATTTTGTATTTGTGGCAAACCCTTGATTTTTTAAATAAATTCAACCAAATCATTTTGTTGTTTTGTGTATTTCGGTCCTATTCACAGTTTTTAAACTAAAACCTGGAAAACATTAAGGTCCCTTGAAACGTAATGCAGTGTATTTTATGTATAGGAGAAGGGGTTGGGCTAACAGCAAACATATTACAATTCCTTCCACAATATTTCCATGGACCCCCCTTGAGTACATATTGATAGGGAATTATTCATAGGACCCTTTGGTTTATGTTCTGATCATTTTAGCTTGAACCTCTCCTCTCACTCCTCTCTTCATGACGTGTTTGGCACTGAGGAGTAAGCTACAGCAGGATGTGGCTTCAGACAATACAGAAGGAACAATTGTTGTTTTTCTAAGACAATATATTGAATATCTCCAAACTTATAATTTGCATTTTGTTTGTAAAAAAGGATTTGGGGAAATTACAGAACAGAGTTTCATAAAAGTGGAAAGGTATTATCATGGGTCAAGGAAGAAGCCATTTCATTTTGGAGTGGGTCTGAATCACTGTTTGGATAAACACATTATTGTTCACTTGTGTAAACGGCCTTGGCTGATGTGCTCTTTAAATTGTTTTGTTTATTTAAGTGTTGTTTTTATATCCTATTGAATGGAAATAAACCTGACAATACAACCCAATACAATATTGGTGTAATAGAAATCACATTCAGAGAGCTCAAAGTCTGAAGTAAACATGGCAGCAGTGTTTAGTGTCTCTTCCTGTTATTTGCAGAATAACAACATAAACACCTGTTTTGCACCTGTATATCCGTCCTTATACTATAAGGTTCTGGTTTGAAAAAAACTAAATTAAGCTTTTTCAACATATTCAAATGACGTAGGAAATTATTCTAATCTAGGGTGAAACCACTTTTTGTAGCCTTTAAAATGTGGGTACAGAGCTTGAAATATCTCAGACGGAGATGTGTGTGTGGCGCGGAGGGCAGGGGTTAGTGAGTGGAGACACTCCAGACTTCCAGGCAGGAATCAGCCCGCTCCAGCTGTCGGAGCAATAAAGTGTTGGCATCTGTCCATGGTTCTGAAATCAACCACAATCTCTTTGAACGGAGAATAAAAAGAGCTGGCCGTGGTTCTGAGATACTGACGCTAATGCCACATCTCACAACAGAGCTGAGCAGGTGCAAGCTTACACCGGTGTTTATCCAAACTGCTGGCTAGAAACACGGACTGTGCATTGACAGAAAACTAGTTGAACATGAAGAATGCAGTAGTGGAACAAGGCGTGCAGATCATCCCAGAATAGAAGATCTAGTGAGCGGTGGGTATTACCACGCGCATAATACAACTTTAAACTGTGCTATGTGAAGAGTAGATAGCATTACACAAGTGTGTGTGAATTCAAACACTTTTTCAAATATGCCATCATCTTTCTTTTTGTTTGTCTGAATTTCCTCATCTGTTTTTCTCTCTTATCTTTCACATGAAGGCATATAAAAAGAGACGGAGAGAAGCAGGCGCCCAAATCTGTTCTTTGACCTGCAGTCTGAAAGCTGGAGCAGCTCTAAAATGTTTTTTTATCTGAAAGAAGATGGACTCTGTGGTGCCTGGCTTGGAGGCAGCCCACATCGTGCACCTGCTAAGGGTCAATGATCATCCCAGCCCACGGGTGCAGAAACGTAAAGACAGGCCTCGACTGGACAGAGACAGATTAGAGAAACGTTATTCCTTCCTTACTGCTCTCCTCTCTTAGTGATTCAGTGCATGCGTATATAGGCTGGCTATTCCTGCCTCAGCCTCCCACCTCATCCCTAGCGAGCGATAAGTATTGTTTGCGTAGCAGCACATTTCATGCTCGGCTTCCCCCACCTGTTCCCTGACCTGCGAAGTCTAACGGTTGGAATAGCTGTCAAATACCTTCACCCGTATCTCTCCAGGATGATTGAAAGGAGATGTTGTCTTATAAAAGGTTTGAGAAGCGTTTCCTTTTTAGCAGAGCACAAAAACAAACTTTGGTCAAGGATTTTAAAGCAGTGACTCCAGAAGGCAGTTAAAAAAAATAAAAGGTTAACCTCACTTTACCTTTTTGTGTGCTAATTGCCGGATAATGTTTTGTGTCTTTTAATTTGTCGCCTGCAGGTTTGTGTGTGAGTTCTGGCTGCATGTCAAGGTCAAACTATTAATCAAATCTATCAGCCTGATTTGCATAATGAACCGCTGCAAAATGTCCCTGTGCCTCAAGGACCCTCCCCCCCCGCTCACCATCTCCTCACGCTTCTCTGTGTGTGATGTCTAATGCCAGTTATCACACTCAACGCAACACGGTGTGTGTGTGTGTGTGTGTGTGTGTGTGTGCGTGCTGCGTGCTGCGTGCGTGCGTGCGTGTGTGTGTGTGTGTGTCACAGCTGTGTCTGCTTCAATTGGCAGGGATCTCCTGTTTGTTTTGCACAGCAGTGATTTGCATTAGTAAACTTGCTTGAAATTTTCCAAATTGAAAAGCAACTTTGAAGGACATAAATCCTTCATTTTGTGACACATTTCATCACTTTTCATTACTCCTCTGAAGAAACAGATCAGGAATATGGATTCAAGATCAGACATGTCTTAGATTGTGGCATGCTGTTTGACTTCTGATGAGTTTTGGAATCATAATTATATTAAAAGATCTAAAAAACTATTGGATGGTTCAAAACGAATCCAGCTCTGTCCCGAGAAATCCGTTTTTTCGCAAAACAAAAAAGTTCCCATTTTCTCGTTAAGGAAGCATATAGTACCGGGAAAACACCAAAACAAACTCCGGCAAAGTGAAATTCCTCACCTATTAGAAAAGTAAAATCCTCAAGAATGAAAATCAAAACTGTTATTTTTGCGCCCTCGGAGACGTACAGCCTCCAACACCAGAGAAACACTGCAAGATCAGAGGAAAGCAAAAGCAAAACCACACCGAAACAAGCCATGATGGAGAGGGAAAAAAGGCTGAAAATAAGCGAAAGGTGGAGATTATAACAAGAAGCTGCCTCGGGAAGAGAGAGAGAGGAAAAATATCAAGAGCGTCCGCAAAGCACGTATTTCTCAGTGGATGTCGCCGGAGCAACAACACTCAGCATCCAAGACTGAAATCATTGCATGCAGAAAACATTTTCCCCATGTCGGAACACCAAGACAAGAAAGAAAGCAAGAAAAAGAGGATCAAAATAAGAAAATGGCAGTGGAAAATGTACTCACCGAGCGGGAGTAAAAGGGGTTCAATTAAAAAGAAATTGGGCGGATAGCGGTGGCGGATGGGTGCTGTGCAGACTCGTGAACACCGAGGCTCTGCGTCCCTTTCGCGCGCTCTATTGCTGCCGGTGGCTCAGTCACGTGACTCGGGATTGGCCAGAGTTTTTGAATACACACACACACACACACACACACACACACACACACACACACACACACACACACACACACACACACACACACACACACACACACACACACACACACACACACACACACACACACACACACAGAGAAGCACACAGACGCTTTCTTTGATTTGTAAACATGTTTTTATTGGTATGTTTAATTAATTGCCTCATATAGCGTTAAAATGTGTGTTCTGTGTGTAGGCTACTTTGTTTTTGTAACGCCTTGTTCATCATGCTTTGGCAATACGTTTTTGATATCGTCATGCCAATCTTTGAGTCAGTCAGTTTTTGTTTCTTCTTGTAGCTACATTTGAAAGCATGCAGTGGTGTAATGGAGGAGCTTTTTCTGTTACTGGCATTGATTTTTATGCCCAGGGCCATTTGCTTCCTAAAACACTGTCCAGGTGCGAGGGCACATATAAGCAGGACACATTCAAATCTGATCTAACTCTTTAATAATTAGCCTATATTGCTTATATTTATTTTTAGTTGCATCACAATATCTCACAAGTAACAGAAATCACTTACAATAATGAGACTCTAATTTCAAGCAAACCTGAATGATCTCTTATTATACAAACACGCCATTAAAGGAAATAAGTTGTTGCAATTACTTCCATCTGCATTTTTTATTACATCGCTCCTTGTGGATCATTGTGTTGTTTACATAAATTAATAAACTAATAAACAAATGATCATGATTGCTGAAGGCTGTTATTGTCCACTGAACGTCTGAAAAAGGTTTCGATGTATCATCACAACTCCAACCTCTCTCTGCTCCCTCATTAAAAAGTACTCAACGGATTAATCAGCTGGTTTATATTGAGCCTCATTAGAATATTGATCATCAATGAGGGGGTCAACGCTCAGGGCATTCCTTAACAGAGTCTAAAGCTTAGTTAATATCCGGCTGTAAGTCCCCCATAGATCTCAATTGAGGAGCAATATTGATTGAACTCCTTCCAAACATTCTAGGCAACTATACTGCCGGCAAAATACCTCTTTTATTAACTGGTTCATTTTGAGACTTTGGGGTATTTTGCCTCCAAACCATGTTTTCTTTCAGACTGAAAAATACCATTTTGAGTGTCCATTTTACTGCACTTCTTCTCATCATTCTACAGATGTTATTATATAATGCCTCATTTGCATATCTAAAAATAAAAATGTCAATGTAATCAATGAACTGTGAGGTTTCATTGTTATATGTTTTGTTTTTTTACTATATCTTTCTGTAATGTCTTGCTAAATGTATAGAATACAACATATCTTTAAAGTCAGTGTTCTCAAAATAGACGAAGATGATGACGAGTGTTTTCTTCATCTCTGAGCTGCAAGTCTCTATTTGTATGCTGAAGGTTTTCACAGAGGGCTTTGATCATTACATATCATTTTGCAGACGATTTTATCCAAAGCGGCTTCAAGTGCCATCAACAAATAGGTACAAACTCGAATCAAAAGTACCTCAGCTTTCAAAAAGCAAAACTTTTGTAAGTGCTACAAACAGTTATGATTCCTCTTCTCTTCATTTGCTAAAATGCAGTCAAAATACGTGAGGGTTTCAGTATGTGGCGCACAGATATATCGTTCATATATATATTACCTTTTTTCTTTAAACATGGTTAAAAAATATATATTTTTAATGGTGTTGGCTGATGTTCTGAATAACGTAGTGTTACAAAGAGACAAAATTAAATCTGTGAAAAGTTTAGACTTTTCTTTTTTCTTGCATTATCCAATATTCAGATTTTCTATTAGGAAAAAATATGTAAATGAGCCAATACTTAATTAAATAATGTCACATTTGCATATTCAAGCCAACGTTTAAAAAAGAGCACTTCTCAAAATTCAAGTTATCAACTGGGGAAGTGTTACATCAGTTATTTACTCTGTCTCTCAGTATCTTGGTCAGGAAAACTTTAGACTGCAGCTTCTCATCTCATTTAATTTGATCCCTCCCTGCACGGTTGACAGCTCCAGGGTTCATACTGATTCTTGAAGGAAACACGAGTGGGCTTGCCGTCGGGGGGGGGACAGAAGTGTTTGTTTCTGCAGCCGGTGGTATGAGCCAAGGGTCCGCACGGATCAATGGCTCCTCGAGGGGCTGATCAGCAGAGACAGACAGATGTCAGGGCAGCGGGCTTCCTGCCGCGCCACTTTGTTTTCCCCTGCAGCGATGAAGCTGTTGATAGATTGTGTCAAACATCACAGGAGCTGTATCAGACATGATTCTGTTCTGCTGTGATTTCATGAAACATGATGAGGGATGGTAGGGATTGATTCACATTGGGCTGGATGCATTTGGTACTCGTAAGTTCAAAGCTTAGTGGAGATGTACAGGTCTAGTTTTATGATTTGTGAGTGAGGCTTCAAACTAGTGCTTGCGCTTTTATTGGCTAGCACTCCAACACATTGTATGTGAAGGCTAAGGGGTGGGACATCTCTAAGCGGTTGACTTATCACAACAGAGCTGACCAGCTAACCAATCAGAGCAGACTGGGCTCTGGTTTCAGACAGAGGGTGAAAAGAGGTGCTGCAGCACAGGCAGTATGAGAAAAAAAGAGCTTTTTTAACATTAAAGCATGGAGACATGTCCCAGTAGAGACACTAAATACAAATGTGAACCTAAAGAATGAGCATAAAATGGACCATTTAAGTAATGGCAGTTGGATTTTTGCTTCACATGGGACTAAAACAGCCCCGCAAAAAGATGACTCCTGAAGTCTGGAACCTTTGGTCTTAGGGTCTTCAATTGAAACACAAAAATCATAATATTTGTAGCGAAAACACGCAGAAATTGCATTTTTTGGGACCAGTCTCCCCTGTTGTGGGAATGTGATGCCTGTCATTCCTCCAGCAACACATCCCAGTTTTCTGAGAGTTCACTCCAGTCAAAAAAATAAATAAATAAAAAAAGTCAGACTCTCTTCTCTGCTCAGTGTCACACACAAGTCTCTGAGCAGCTGCCACTTCAGCGCAGTGGGACCGAGGCTTTCTGTATCTGCTCATCTCTATCCACCTTCCTCCACCCCAGCACACATGATGATCCTCTGGCTGGGGTCCAAAGCTCCGTGTGCAACACTGTCTGGCATGCAGCTCATCTGACACTCCCAGCTCTGAGCCATACAGCCTGAAAGAGGTGGAAAAGGTGTGTGTTTCTTTGTGTCTCTCTGTGTGTGTGTGTGTGTGTGTGTGTGTGTGTGTGTGTGTGTGTGTGTGTGTGTGTGTGTGTGTGTGTGTGTGTGTGTGTCAGGCAGAAGTCTTTTAAGCCTCAGGCCGAGTCATGTGTCTGCACTCAGCTGTAATTGCTGTGTGGAACAGAACATGTAATGCAACGTTAATGGCAAAGGGACTGATGCTTCGCCCACAATGTTCCCTTTTCAAACATGAATAGTGCATTAACAGCAGGGATTCACTATCCCCACACTGATTGGAGCTATTAAATCAATTTAGGACATGTGGAAAGGGAAGTGAAAGTGGGCGATTGACAATCGCCCACTTTCACTTCCCTTTCCACATGTCCTAAATTGATTTAATAGCTCCAATCAGTGTGGGGATAGTGAATCCCTGCTGTTAATGCACTATTCNCACGCACGCACGCACGCACAAACACACACACACCGTACACACTGCTGGGCACTTGCTTTGAAGCATCTGCTGCCCAGAAAATTTCTGTCATGATGAATTTCTTATAGTTGCTGAATCTTTTACTCTTGTGCTCTTGATGTTAGATGGAAGTAGACTTCACATGTCAGTCTCTCTACATCTTTTGACCCAAATACTCTCAGATTTCTGCGCTCCAACAAGCCACACGTTTATGCTGAACACAGATTTTGTGTTGTGGAAACATCTTCAAGGCAAAACAACATACCTCTAGTAATATCAAGCATGGCTGATTCTGCATGTGGCTGGTATTTTCCCCGGGTGGAGCTTTTCTAGAAGAATTATGTGTGATGGCATATACAGTAAGGGCCAATGTAGGTTAAAGTAAATACAATGAATAAATAATGGAGCCGGAGGAGGGGGTGGTATTGCCAAAAAAGTTGCATTTTTCAGTAAAAGAAACTTGATATCCACTGACATTCATAAATGTAAACCCGACTTTGTTATTGCCCTGATTCTTTGCTGCCCTGGTGTCTTTACCTGCCCTCTCAAGCTGTGTCTTGTTGAGTTAGCCCTGTGTCTGTCTATCCAAATGTTCTCTGTCAGTTGTCTGTCTTGATCTGGTTCTTCTCGTCAAGGTTCCTGCATGTTTCCTGTCTGTGTTACCTGTGGAGTTTGCTCCTTGTGTTTTGTCATGTTCTCCTGGTTCATTTAGGTAAACAATTCAATTTAAAGGAGCCTTTTTATGCCGATTTCTAGGCTTCATATGTGTATTTTGTACTTCTACATGCGTTAATGTTCAAAAGCTGCTTTATTTTCATCACACTGCCTGAGTTGCAGCACCTCATTTCACCCTCTGTTTGAAACCAGAGCCCAGTTTGCTCTGATTGGTTAGATGGCCGGCTCTGTTGTGATTGGTCAACCGCTTGGAGATGCCCATCCCTTTCACGTACAATATGGTACAGCGCTTGACAAAGGAAATGCTAGTGTTATGTAGTGATGTCACTATGTCGCAGGTGTAAACAAAGGTCTGAATATGACCCGGCTTTGTGTTTTTAATATGATATAACCAACAATGGCCCTATTACGTCATAATAATTATGTGTTTCTACTGCAGGAAGCATACTGCAGTCCATGAAGCTCACAAGACATTAACTGACGGTCCATTGGCTGCAGCAGAGTGGAAAAGAAAGGCAACATGACATCCTTTTGTCTGTGAAAGCAACACACCGTCGTCTCTGTGAGACAAAGGGTAACTGGCAAAGCTATATGACGTGGTAATCTTCATTTCCATGACAGCAACCTTGGAAAACT